CCTTACTTAAGAAGGGCTTCCGGAGATGAGGGAAAGTATCAAGAAACTAAAACTATAGTTGTGCTTCAAACAAACAAAATGTGTTTGAAAGCTGATTTTTTGGGGGCAAACTAGATGAAACTTGGCTTCTAATGTCCCAACCCAAATCAATTAAATGACTCCATTAAATGCTAGTTCTGCCCCAGTTTAAAGGAGATATGGGAAAAAGACCACAAGAAGTGGGAACAGAAAAAGTCCAAATGTTAGTATTTAAATAGCACCAGGTACCAAAGTAGTGTGAACCAGGAAATCTTTTTCTCCATTGTCTTTTTTTAAAATTTATTTATTTTTTTAATTTCATATGTTTTTTACATCATTTTTCATTTTTGCACAATGTATGCATTTTTACCTTGGTTATAGTCCCCATACAATTCCCACCTTTCTTGTTTTGATCCTACTCCCTCCTCCCCCCCATGTAGTATGTCTCTGGTTTATAGTTGCTTGCTGATTTTGATTTTTACTTTATTATAATGAGTCTTTTTCCTGGTCCCTTATTTAGGTTTTCTAAATTCCTGTTATGAGTGAGACCATCTGGTATTTTTCTTTTTCCTTCTAGCTTATTTCACTGAGCATGATCCAATAAAAATTTCAATGACATTCTTCAAAGAAATAGAACAAATATTGATGAAATTCCTATGAAGCCACCAAAAACCCCGACTAGCCAAAACTCTCCTGAAAAAAAAAAAGGGGGGGGAATGGAGGTATCACACTCCCAGACTTCAAACTATACCACAAAGCCATAATAATCAAAACTGCATGTTACTGGAACAAGAACAGACACAAGGACCAACGGAACTGAATAGAAAATCTAGAAAAGAACCCCACAGACTCACAGTCAACTAATCTTTGACAAAGGAGCAAAGAATATGCACTGGAGCAAAGAAAGTTTGTTCAATAAATGGTGCTGGGAAAACTGGGTCGCTACATGCAAAAGAATGAAGCTTGACTACTACCTCACACCATGCACAAAAACCAACTCAAAATGGATTAAAGAACTAGACATAAGACCTGAAACCATAAAATATATAGAAGGAAATATAGGTGAAACACTACATGACACACACCTCAGTAACATCTTTAAAGACACATCACCCAAAGCAGTGATAGTGAAGGCACAGAAACAGCTGGGACTACATCAAATTAAAGAGATTCTTACAGCAAAAGAAACAGTAACCAAAACAAAGAGACGCCCCACCGATTGGGAGAACATTTTTGCACACAACACTAATGATAAAGGACTGATCACAAACATCTGCAAAGAGCTGAAGAGACTCAACAAAAACAAAGGAAATAATCCAGTCAAAAAATGGGCAGAAGAGCTAAAAAGGAACTTCTCCGAAGAGGAAATGCAAATGGCCAACAGGCATATGAAAAAATATTCAACATCACTTGTAATCAGGGAAATGCAAATCAAAACTACAATGAGATACCATCTTACACCAGGGAGAATGGCACATATTAAAAAAAACTAGCAACAACAAAATTTGGCGAGGATGTGGAGAAAAAGGAACTCTCCTGCACTGCTGGTGGGAGTGCAAACTGGTCCAACCACTATGGAAAGCTGTGTGGAGATTCCTCAACCTGCTAAAGATGGAGCTTCCATATGATCCAGCAATTTCTCCATTGTCTTGACTGCTGCTGCTGCTTCTTTTCCTCGCTAATCTTGTGTTAGATATAATTTGTTTAAGTTCCAAGCTACTTGAGAGTAGAAACACATTCTTTTCATATTTTTGGTTTAGGATACTGTAGAAATAAATGTATTTTTCAACTATAATGTGAGACAGATGATATTTCAAGGCATTCTGGTTCACAGATTTGAAAAGCAGTTTAACTCTGAAATAATGGCATTTCTATCATAGTTTAAGGGAGAACTAAAAGCAGAATATTTAAAATTGGGAATATATTTCTGAAAGTGAGGGCTGTGTGGTGACGGGACACAGAGTGCCTGTGCTGGGCAGTCAAAGCCTTTGGTGCCAATGCCAAGTGTCAACTGTGGTTTCACTTCCAGTGCTTCTACGTGGTGATCTGAGAATGTGTTCCATTTTCACCACCTGAATGTTACCTGTCAAGGTGATCAAAGATCAGAGCAGAAAGGATTCCTTTCCATGTTTATTGTATTTAGCCAAGCTCTTTTATCAAATTATGTTTTTTTTTAAGATTTATTTATTTATATAAGAACTGGGGTACAGGCCAGATGCACGGGAGGGTGAGAGGATTCACCAGAGACAGAGCAGGGAACAGAACAGGCAGACTGATGAAATACACTGCTGAGGGGAGCAGCGGGCGAGACAGGAGAGGTCTGCTCGCCATGTGGGTTGCTCCGAGGCCAGCGGAGATCGAACCAGTGCTGCAGAGGCTGCAGACAGCTTCACAGTGCTGCGCTCAACTGCCTTCACCACCAGGGGAGGCCCTTAAATTATGTTTTATTTAGCTTTTTTTTCCTAATATGATTTAATTAGTAGCACTTAGTTAGAAAAATGTAAGTAAGCATTCGCAAATAAGCATTCGCTGAGTGCTTATTTGTATACAGATTCTTATTGTGATGGTTTCCTGAAAGTAATTTTAGCTATCCAGGAAAACCCCATAATTTCTAATCAGCTATGTGTGTGTGTGTGTGTGTGTGTGTGTGTGTGTGTTGTTTTACCACAGATGATACTTTTGTCTAAAATTACTTTGCTGTACAGTTTTTAGAAATATCTGTGGTTTTTAGTCCACTCTTAACAGAATAGCTAATCCCTTCCTGGGGTGGTTTGTTAGAGTGGCAATTTCCCTAATTAATAAACCCTGTATTATTTATTTATTTATTTATTTATTTATTTATTTATTTAAGGATTTACTTATGCATACAAGAGCTGGGGTACAGGCCAGAGATGCGGGGGGTGAAAGGATTCACCAGAGACAGAGGGGGGAGCAGAACAGGCAGACTGACTGAAATACACTGCTGAGGGGAGCAGCGGGCGAGACAGGAGAGGTCTACTGCGCCATGTGGGTTTCTCCCTGACTGACCGGGATCGAACTCCTGTTGCAGAGGCTGCGGATTGCTTCATAGTGTGGTGCTTAACCCCTTGCACCACCAGGGAGCCCCCAACCCTGTATTATTTATTACAGTCCAAGTAAGATCAAGATGCTAAAAAATTTCATTTAGTGTTCTGATTACCAGAACTCTCATTATGAGATGGATAACTACTTAAGTAGCAGAAACAAAAGTAACAGAAGCACACTGTACCCGATGCTAAGAAAATCTTTGGGCACAAGAGAAGCGAGGACCAACAGTTCTTGACTGGACACCAGTTCACTCCTCTCTTAGATGAATTCTGAATCTGCAGTATTTATGATCCAGAAAGACAGAGTGTTCATTAGGGGAGTTTGGAGGAATCATAGAACATCTGTATTCAAATTGTAAGTTATTCAAAACAGGACTGGACTGAGGTACTGAAGAAGCAGAAGTGGGATGTAGGTGTAGTTAAAACTTCCTTTTAGCTTGTTCACAAACAAGAATGTTCTGCCATCCACCAGATCATGTACATCTGGGATGTTTCCCGTGAAATTCTGTGCAGAAAATGTGGTCACAATATGTACAGATGCCATTTATTAAACTCCCTTTTACCCACCTGGACTTTTGTATAAACCACTTGCTTGATTTTTGTCTGTCTACCTGCCTACCTCCCTATCTAATTTCCTTCCTTCCTACAATTGCCCATGACTTGATTCCCAAATAGAACAAAGACAATTAGGTTTGACATTTGTAAATCTTAGTCTTCACTAAGCAGGAACCAAAAAAAAGCTCAATATTTTAATATAAATAAATGTGAGACTTCCAAAAGTGACAACGATGAAATAAATTGGCAGCAAAGAATAGGAAACAAAATTAAATGCCTAATTTCCCTCTCTTCGGTAATTAAGCATAGGTGCACAAATATAATTTTAGTCTCCCAATACAAGAAAATTTCATTGGATGTGGAAACCTAGGATTCTCAGCATTGTTTTAGCGTTTGAGTGTGCTGTATAGTATTTAAGAAAAAATTAAAAGATGTCAGTATGAAAATAAAGTCTATCTTTGTATATCTGTCTCTATCACTGCCACCTTCCCACAGGGCACCTGCCATGACACAGGTGGCATTATCCCTGCCACAAAACACTGAAGGGCCATGGCGACAGTGTGAATTGCTTCAGTCTTGAGTTAACCTGACTTGCTTGCAATATAAGCTAGCATGACATAAACTCCTGATAAGGGGTTCAGACCCAAAGAGTCACTAAGTACCTAGCATGGTGCTGAACACACACTCCCCTCCTAACATGTGCTTGCTAGAGGGTGGATTTAAGATGCCGCTATGAGCCTCAATCCACACAACTAGTTTTACTGATAAAGGGGTTTATGCCCTCATCACATTCCAAAAGGACTAAAAGGCAACTGAAAAGCATGCATAAAATATGATCAAGATAAGCTAAGAGTGGATAGGAAGAAAAGTTGTAAAGGGCAGAAGAATAAGATGGTGTGTGGCCAATGAGCATGTCCTTGACACCCCCACCTTCACTGTAGGGGATTAAAACTGTAACTGTTATCTTTCTCATGGCAAAAACAGATATTTGATTGGTTGCATTTTCTCCATATTCAGAAATAAACAGTAAATAGGATTTTTCCTAATGAGGGAATCAGAAATATGTTTTGGTTTAATAAAATATCTTGAGTTTCAGAAACACTGTTCAAGATGAACCACAGAAGAGAAGGATGAACAGACTCGAGACTCACAATGAATAAAATCTGGTGTGTTGTTGAGGGTGGGAGGGGAACAGAGAATCAAAGATAACCTAAACACAGGTGATCAATATAAGAGTGCTATGAGATAAAGCATGGGACCAATAAACAAAACCCACTGGAGACTTGGATTTAAAACAAGCAAACAAGAAAAGGAAGCATAAAGAAAGAAGGCAACTGCTCTCAGACACCAGCGTTCACTTACCTATTGCTTGAGCTAGGGCTATTACAACCTCCTGGCAAGTTGTGACTTCGGTGACCCCACAAACAATCCTCTGAACTCCATCCACCCATACTTTAAGTTCCATGGTGTACCAGCCAGTCACCCAAGGGCCCTGAGAGTGGTCATCGGGGTGTCAGGTCATGTTCTGGCTCTGGGAACACGGAGAAGGCAATTTCTGAGCAATCAGCTAAAAAGGGAAAAAAAAAAATCTTCAATGAAACTGATCTTAACATTTCTTCTAGAGAGGACACAAAACAAAATCTGTTTAATATAAAATTTAATAATCCCACTACCAAGAATAACCCCATGTACTTCCTTATTTTACCAAATTGAACTCAGCAGCAAGAATGTAACCACAGTGTTTCATGTTACAGCTGCCCTAATTATAACTTTAATCATAAAGTCACTCTCCATTGGGTAGAGAGATCTTATTTACTTGACCAAGCCTTATTGTTCAACGCACCAGCTGTTTCTTTGGTTTTTAAAATATTATCTCCAATATTAAAGAAACAAAAAGTTCCTTTTGTCTGAGGAAGCACAAAGATGGAACCAATGTCCAGATTCTTGCCAGCAATTACAAGAGGCATCTCGTACACCCATTGCCTGTGTTCCATGTGCCCCAGCCTCTCTCCTTCAGGGACCGAGTGGGGCTTCTGCACATAGATGCTCCAAAGCTGAGGCAGCAGGGGTCAGGGAGTATTAGGGAAAGGAAAGGAATTTCTTTGATGCCTGATGATTTCCCCAGGTATGAACTGCTTATCCTTTTCTCATTTATTTAATTAGGGTTCCATAATTATCTTAATTATGAGTTAAATCTAATAATACAAACAACCTTTTTACACTTGCTGTCTCCCTGGTGGTTGAGTTTTTGTTTATCTTCCTTATATGTCAATAAGAAATTTTACATTCTCATACAGTCAAATCAATGCTTTATTTTAGTGATTAGAATGAGTCTGCTATTGATTACACACAATTCTGCAATTGATTACACACAATTCTTTTTCCTGCGTGTTTTTAAAGTCTCAATTCTTCCTGTGTTAAGTCTTCAAGCAAGCTATGATTGGTTTGTCCCCTGTTCTGTCATCTTCCTATTTCTTTGTTGTTTTAAAAAAATCTTATTATAAAACAGCATTTACTGCAAATAGTAACTTATTCCTTGTATATACTCAAAGGACCTCAGAGAGTTCTAGTTCACCTGGTCACCTGGGAGGATGAGTCAGAACACAAGTAAGGGGCAGGGGAGTAAACTAGTTGCTGTCTCCAGAGCAGGTACAAAAATATGTCGTGTCATCCTAAAGGCAAGGGAAAGGATGACTAAATGTCAGGGCCCCTTGGTCACTTCAGCTCTGAGGGGGTGGCAATGCAGGAGATTTTGGAACCACCTGTGCAACCTGGGGAAGAGCTACAAACCCCACAAGATGCTAATGTCTTTCACGGGGGGCGGGGGGGGGGGCTGGGGTGAAGGGTCCTATAGCCAAAAGCTGTTAAGAGATCCAGCCAATAGGGTTTAAAAGTTCCTCTATAGCCACACTTCTCTGAGCCTGCAGGAGGTGGGATACATTATAGGGGTTCAAGTAAATGGCTTGTGTGCTACTGACCCCAAATCATAGCGAGAACATGAAGGGAACAGAAGTTCTGGTTTACAACAAAGACTTTTTTTCTTTTCTGTTAAGGCACTCTATTTACTAGCAATAGATGATGTGCTATTCGTTGTTGGGACATAATTAAGACTAAAAATATCAATAAATGGTGTTACATATATTAAAATAATTTAACTTCATTAAAATTATAAAAACCTTAGCTGAATTAAAAACAACTCAGCTGAACTAAAATCCATCTAACACCTGGTCCCTCATTTTTCACTAAGATCTTAAACTTTGAAAACCTTACAAGGAAGACAGCAGGTTATCCTTCCCAGACAGTTTCTCCCCCCACCCCCCCACCCCCAGATATCTGCCCTTTAAATGCATGAGGCTCATTTTTAAGTTCTAAAAAGTGCTTCAGTACACCCCCAAATATTTTTCCCATCTGAATGATCACTGTTTCACCTCTAACTTTTATTCATTAAGTGAACACAGATGAACAAAAAGCACATGTACATCTGTTAAGTATTACTGAGAGCAGTAATGCTGTGGGAACACACTGGGCACAGATAATACTGCTCAGTTCATACAAACTAGCAGGCGATTCATCCCGTGACCAGACTCCCACTGCAGCTCCTCACAGAGGAGACCATGCCTGCATTTTTGTTTTACCACCACTAATAACATCTTTCCAGCTTGAATCCTTGAGGGCAGGAAATGCCTTCATGGATCAGCTCAATGGTCCAAAATTTTATTTCTAGGAGGACCACTGTTTTGAGTATATGGCTTCCAGCAGCTTTGGCGTTGTCCTGACCATCACCCGGGCTTCCCGAAAAACCAGGGAGTTTTTCAGGGGAGTTATGGAGACAGCCTTGTCCATCCTTCCTCTCACAGAATCCCTTTGCTCCCTACCAGCAGCGACAATGCCTCCCCCACCATCCGTTCCCCACAACTAGGCTAGTGGGAAAGAGGGGTCCTACGCTTTTGGTATGTGTGGTGGACGGGTCATCACTGGGACTGAGGACTCGGGAAGCAAAGGCACGTTGGCATCTCAGCTGGAATTCGGAATAAATTTTGCCATAGAAACAGGGAGGTGGGTGGAAATGAGGTTCTACTGCAGAATATTGACATAGCTGCTATTGTTTTCATTATGAGGTTTCCATATGCCAACCATGATCATTCTAATCATTTCTATAATGAAAAACTAGGTTTAGTTAGTACCATGCTGCAGCAGAACAGTTCTCTATCTAAGAACCATATATGATATTCAGAAATCCAGCATTTACATTTGTGGCAACACGGCCCCTCTTCCTTACCCATGGAGTCCTGACTTGTGAATTCACCTGGCTAGACTTATCTGTAGCCTCTAGTGCCTGCATATGGCACTGTCCCAGTCACTGGCAAATGTGTTAGTGCCTGCCCGCACACTAGAGGCTGAGGCTGAATGCAACACTGCCTCCTGTCTGGCTCTCCCACCCAGCGCCCTGGCCTGGCATGTCTGCAGTCTCAGGTGCTACAGACTTCATGCTGATTTCAAAGTACAGCTCCCCTCCACCCCCACCCCAGGCATATGCGCAAGTGTGGCCTGTGATCAGGGATGTGACTGATGGAGAAGACCGTGTGTGCCAAGGAATCTTGTTCAGGCAACAGTTACAGTGCTGAAAGCTGTCAACAATGCACACTAAATAATGTCTCTACACAGGAGAACACAAAACCAGGGTGTGTACCGACCACCTGATGCAAATATCATGACCCAAGCCTATGCCTCTCCCATAAACAAGGGCTCCATACACCCCTGACTTTACAAAACACAACCCCCTGCAGGTGACAAGAATTGGCTGCATATGTGTGAGTGGTAGACCCTTCCAGGAATAGAAGCCATCTATCTGCTGAGCAAATACCATGTTCTTTGGACACCAGGTGCGAGCGTGCAGAGGGCTCACTGTCGACTTGAACATTCCTTCATTGCTGGTTTTATTCAAGATCTGAGGTTTCTGCATGCCAATTTTTTTTGTAGAAACAGTGTACAGAGAAAGTGGGTCATAGCCCACCTCCATGTTACAGACAACACGGATGCTCACCACCAGCTACTTGGGCATCAGAGACAGAGACTTGACACAATGACTATGATACATTTTGAACATATTCACTATAACTACTAAGAACTGGATACTGAAATTCTCCTTTGTACAGACAACTGGCAAAACAAAAACAGAAGGGAATTTGGTTTTCCTCATCCTAAAATGATTGTGATGCAGAAATAAAGTGAAATAACGCAGCCTCACTGTTAGCAACTAGAGAGTATTAGCTTTTAAATCTTTAAGTGATTGCTGAGGTGAGGAGAAACTGTGATGGGTGGTTGCCGCCTGTGGAGCCTAGACAGGCACTGAAAATGAGTGACCACGTTACAACATGGTGGGTGGAGCCTGTGCAAGGGGAGTAGGGCTACACACACTAGGCAGGTGAGAGGCAGACAGCAGAACTTAGGAGACATGAGTGTGGTTTTGGGGAGTGGCCTGAGGTATCCACCACAGGTGACCTGCTTGAGCTGCAGCCTCAAGTGAGCGTGTCTAGAGAACTCTGCTTCTGCAGGCTGCACACCCAGTTAATGGTAGGTTGCCCAGGTGAGCAGGTGCTCTTAGAGACAAAGTGTCAGAAGAGGGTCCTTAGGAAGAAAGACGGGGTGACAGAAAAAGGGCTCCACAAAATGAATCTCCAAGAACAGGAGTCCTGGAAGGTGCACCCAGGGGGCAGGGCTCTGGGCAACATCTCACAACACATCGTCTCCAAGAGGCGAGAAAAAGGTTCTGACACCCCCATCGCAGGGAAACAAGCTAAACTTTGTTCACTTCGCTCAGTGACTTAGCCTGAGTGTGTGAGTGTGTGGGTGGGGAAGAGGGGAAGGTGGGGGCTGCCCATAAAATATCCCCCTGAACTCTTATTAGAGTCTACAATGACTAACTTCTGGAAAATATGCCTATGTATAAAATGAGATTTTTGCCAGCCTGGCGTATTTAGAGGTGCCTAGACGTAAAGCTATTTCAAGCTTTACTTATAGGAACAATACAGAACAAATAAAATTTACTAAGAATCCTGGCATTCCTTCATGTGAAGTCTTCATGGCCACAATTAATCTACCTCTTCGAAAGGTGGGTTTTACATTTTCTTTTTAGAAACCTATCGAAACCGGAGCATTTTAAAAATTCAGAATCTTAAGCAATCTCTGCCCTACTACTTGTCAGATCCAATAACCCACACTTTCTCCTCCACTATCTGCCCTGGGGTCACAGCATGTAAACACACCATAGATTTCACATTTCTCAAATCCCCTGTGCTCAAGTGCCCCCCCCCCCACCCCGTAGTGGAGGCAAGGGATGTGCATGCTCCCTAATGGCCGGTGGACTCCTGCTCATTCATTCCTCACAACACTGTAGCAGTTAGGTATTATTTGCCTCATTTTAAAGATGAGAAAAGTGAGTCTCAGATTCGCTAATAAATCCTATCTACCATCTCCTGGAAATTTATTTCTATTAATAAACAATGATCAGACCACATGTACAGATGTGTCATTCCAGTTGAAGGAAAAGGTCATCCAACTAAATAATGCTGAAAACCAGAGAGAAAATGATGCTAACCCTGTGAACACACAACCGAGTCCCTCTGATAAACACACATGCTAGTGAAATGAATGCCTGATGGTCAGGTTCAATTTTCAGCACCAACAAATTATTCTTTTGGTTTGGGAAAATTATATCCAGATTTACTTGTACAGGGTCCTAACTGAAATGTTTGTACATTTGTTGTAATTTTTAACTCCTGCCTTAAATATAAAGCAAAGCTTCTTAGAGATTTCCTGCATTTTCTTTGGGTTCACAGTATGAAAAAACCTCCATCTGGAATAATCCATCTTTTTTTTCCAAGTGAAAAAGGAGTGGGAAAAAGGAGTGATTAGTGGGAACATGCATCAGGCTTTGATCCTGAGTCTACTACTTACTGTGTGACTTAAGATGCATAACTATTCAAGTGGCATTTGTGAGAAACAGAATGCTTTCTTTTTTTAAATGTACCAAGTGCAGGGGGTGGCACAAAGCATGGACTTAACATGCTTTGTGTATGGAAGTAAACTTTTTTTTTTTTAAATTCAGGTAATGCTGTTTTACATTGATGTTTGTATTTGGGGAGTACAGGATCTCCTCCCACCCCCTGCCTAGCTTTTTGGTGCTGTCACCATAGCACTCCCACCACCAAAGCACCCACAGCCCTCCACCATAGGCCACTGTGATCCTCCCCACTTTATTCTCGCTCCGTCTCCTTCCCCTCTGAATGCTTCAGTTCCGTGGTCAGGCTTCAAGAGCTGGTCTTTGAGTTTGGCTTTATCTGACCCTTTGTTTCCCTTCTCTATATTCCACATACAAGTGACACTGTCCAGTATTTGTCTTCTCCTGATTTATTTCGCTTGGTATAATCCCTTCTTTATCTACTTTGCCACAAATGGCAATGTAGTATTACATCACTTATATATGCCACATCTTCTTGAAACCACTCATCCGTTTTTTGGGTACTTAGTTTGTTTCTGCAGCTTGACTGTTGTAAACAGTGCTGCTATGAGCACAGAAGTGCAGGTTTTCCTTCGAATGAGGGTTTTTGTGTTCTTTGGTAGATACCTTGGAGTGTAATGGCAGATTCATTTTTAATATTTTGAGAAACCTCCATACTATTTCCCATAGGGCCTGGACCAGTCCACATTTCCACCAAGAGTGTAAGAGGGTTCTTTTTTCTCCACATCCTTGCCAGCATTTGTTATAAATTCTAACTTTAAAAAATTATAAACTTTCTAATGAAGGAAATATAGACAAGTACATTTTCAGAAACATTATTTGAATAAGAATCTCTGAAAATAGAGAAAATTTGGGTTATTAGACTAGTGGATATTTCTAATCTTGTTAATCTATGTTAAAAATGTCGATTATTTCCACATCTGGTATTAATATTAATATATGATTCAAATTGAAGTTATTGTTATGAAAATAAATCCCTTTATTAAGAACCACTCCTTTTTTATAAAGTAAACTTTTAAGATACAATAGGTTTTAATTTAACATCAAATATAGTATAAGAGCCTTTACTTTCACTGAGTTTCTTATTCATACCATACCTCCTGAGAGCTTTTTGACAATTACCATTTCTAAATCATTTATCATGTTTTACATTTATCTGCTTACTTTAAAATGAAGACTTCTCCACGCCCAGAGGTCTTAACCACAGGTCATAAAACTGTATCAGAAACAGTCCTTTGCCAGGATGGTACTTACTGCTGAACTAATAATTTGGGTAAATTTTGACCTATCAATTAAAGCTTTGCGCAAAAACACAGGATCTCTATATAATAATTACCGTCTCAGAGAAAAGAAAATCTTTACAAATATCCATTTTAGAAAACAGATGTGTTTTAGTATCCATAGCTGATCTCAAAAGTAAGCCAATTCAAAATAACTTCTTTTACCAGTCTAATATGCTGATACCACCAAGAAGTCATCTCTCTCTAGCCCTCTAATCCCATGGTTACTGTTTGTAAAATCATTTTAAAACCCCATAGAAACACAAGGACATGTCCATTAGATTGACTTTTTTGGTGTTTAGAAGAAAGCAAGGGTCCTGTGTGAACCTAAGCTGGGAACATCACACACTGAAAGGGTGACGGGAGGAGGCACAGAGAAAGGGCAGAGCCATAGATGGCTTGGGACAGGGGTCACTTGGTAGGTGTTAAGGATGTCATCAGAGTGATGGAAACTACCAAGACCACTACACAGATGTATACAGTCCCCTGTCAAGGCTTTAGTGGCCCTGGTAGCCCTCACTGTAAGCTGGTTTCCACAGTGGCTGGATCTCTCCTTAGCAGTAGTAGCCCTGAGCCAAGGCTAACTGAAATGGCACCACTCCATATGGTCACCACTAATCTTGGTACATGCAGCTTTCTTCTATTTTTTCCTACTTTCAACCATCCCAGACTTGCCATATTTGTTTTCCCAAGTGACAAATATACCCTAAATACATTTGGTTTTACCTGGTGATGATTCT